CCCACTGTCCCCACCACTGTCCCGCTGTCCCCTCGCCACTGTCCCCGCCAACACCGTCGCCACCACTGTCCGCACCCCCACTCGATTTTCGAGGGGGGTGGGGGGGGGGGGGGTTCGAACCGGTATTGACCCCCTCCGGTTTTCGAGGGGGGGGGAGGGGGTTCGAACCGGTAGTGACCCCCCCCCCCTTTTCATGATGAACTGGGGGGGGGGGGGGAAGGGTTCGAACCGGTGATGACCTCCCCCCGGTTTTCCGGAGGGGGGGGGGGGAAGGGTTCGAACCGGTAGTGACCCCCCCCCCGGTTTTCCGCCAGCAGCGGTAGAACACGCTGTTTCAGATATCATAGGTGTTGGCCGCCAATTCATGTTGCCGCGCCACGCTTCCATCGGTACACCTTTTATCCTGAGCTTGTTCCTTGGTCATGTGGCCCTCGATGTGCCTGACGAGTACTTCGGCGTCCCCTTTCCTGTCGAGCCTTCGCTTGATCTTCTTCCAGGGGTCCGCGTGAGCCTTCTTGTAGCCCTTGATAGGTACTTCTTGGTCTGCCATCCCTTGCAGAACATCTCGGAGTCCGTGTAGAAGGTCAACATGCCTTCGGCCGACTGCGAACATTCTAGGAACGCCGTGATCTCTGCCCTATTGTTGGACTGCCTGGCCCCTGGTAGTGGTCCCGAAACTTCTGCTGTGGTAGCCCGCTGCCCGTTGAGCATCTCCACCGCGACCCAGCTCCATCCGCATCTTCTGTCTCTGGCGTCGTCGCCATGTGCGCCTCCGTTTCCGTCGCCGCATGCTATGATAGTGTCCTCCACCGCGTACAGCTTCTCGCCTTGGCTCTCGTTGGTGATGCCTTCGGCTTTCCCCGTCCTCAGCGGCCTGTACTCCGTCTCGCACTCTGGTGGGGTAGTCCAACCTACCCACCAACTTCTCCTCCCACTCCCCCTCCCCCTGCCCCTCCTCCCCCCCTCCTCCGCCCCCTCCTCCTCCTGCGTTCCTCCTCCTCCTCCTCCTTTTCCTCCTCCTCCTCCTCCAGCCTCCCCCTCCCCTTCCTCTGCCCCCCTCTCGCCAGCATCGATTCGCGGACGCCGCCTGGGCGCGTCTCGGGCGGCAGCGGCTTGGGGGGGGGGCCCGGCCTTGCCCCGGTCCTTCCTCTGCTCCTGGCGGCCCCGCTCTGTGGTAAGACGAAGCCAAGACGAGGATAACATTCGAGTAAAGCTCGACTATACAACTGATTTACCAAGATTGATGTTCCGTTGGATGAACGGAAAATGCGTCGAATGCGCAGTTGTTCTACTGAGCACTCGATGCATTTTTCGTAAACTCGTCGGGAAATCAATTTTGGGTGAATGAAATCTGTAGTCGATCCCCTATTTGAAACATCGGGTGACGATAAATCGAAGATCTCTGAGATCTGTCGGCTCTGGAAGATGTCTCGGGCGCCGCGGCATTCTCAGAGCGTTCGGGAAAGCTCTGAGAGGGTCCTGGAACGCCCTGGGGCGGAGGTATCCTCCTCCTGACCCCGTCCGATGTCGTGCCGAGGAGACGGCCCCACGAGAGGAAGTTTGGACCGGACGAAAGGAGGGCATAGCTACAAGGGGGAGTTGGCGAATCAGCTCTCGTTTGGCGGCGCGCACAAGGGGGTCAGGGGAGCGGGGGAAGGCTTCTTAGAAGGAGGCTGCTTCTAACGAGCTTCCCCCCTCCCCCTCCCCCCCTCTGCTCAGCGCGTGGCGGACACGTGGCGATCACCCTGGCGCCTTGCGGCGCTGGCGGCGCCAATGTGTCCAGGGAAGTGCCCGCCAGCGGGGCCGAAACCAGCTGCATTGCAGATCTCGTAACCCGTTCTTTGCCACTCCCCCCTTTTCGTCCGACCCGAGAGTTTCACACAGCCCCCGAAGAGGAACAATTTCGTGAATATCAATGTTCCGTATTGTTCACCACCTCCCAAACGTATTCTGTGACATCTTCATCTTGCCGCTGCAAAAAAAACAAGTCGCCCGACCCGATAAAGAAGGGTTCTGGAATGCTTGTCACCGTTTGTGGCCCCCTGGGGCCTTCCGCCAGGGCCGTCAGGAGAACGGCCCAGGGTGAAGAACTGAGGATTGCCAACGGGTCTCGGGCCCGTTCCACCGGGGGACGCCCTCCTTCACGGTGACCCCTCCCCCCTGGAGGAGCAGGAGTAGGGGGAGGAGGAGGACAACGACGAGAATCGAGTAATCGTTGGGCGTTTCTGGGCCTCCGGAGGCCTCCGGGGACGACATCATACCTCAGACGTCTAGAGTCCTCAGGAGCTGCTGCTGCTCGTCAGACTCGTCCTCGTGCTGCTGCTCCCCAGTTGGGTCATCGTACCACTCGCCCACTCGTTCCTTCAATTACCCATCCCTTCGGCATCCCGCCTCCTCCTGATCCTTCCCATCGCCCCTCCTCCTCCTCCTCCTCCTCCTCCTCCTCCTCCTCCTCCTCCTCCTCCTCCCTCTCCTCCTCCTCCTCCTCCTCCTCCTCCTCCTCCTCCTCCTCCTCCTCCTCCTCCTCCTCCCCCTCGGCTTCCTGCACGTCGGCATGCGCTTGGGCGGGGCGCTGGGGCTCCTGTGGGAACTCGATTCCGCCACGCCGCGTGGCCTCTGTGAAGGCCATGCTGCGGCAGGAATGGCTGGGGCCCCGAGGGCCCTGAACTGCACTCCGTGGGCTGGTCCCTGGGTGGTGCAATTCGGTCGTCGAGGTTTGCTCCTTCTCTGCCGCACGTTAGCATGGGGGAAACGGGTCCTGTGGGAAACGAGTCCTGCACCGTTGGGCCTTCCCCCAAGGCAAATTTTTCATCCTGAGTCTACGGTCCTGGGGGCCCAGGAGGGAGGACCAGCGCTAGGGAGAAACGCCGATGCCTCGACGGTGCCCTCCTCCCAGAAACGGCTGCCAAAACTGGTGACGAATCTGCGTAAGCGTAAACTTTATGAGCTCCGCGCGGTTTTCTTGGAACCGCGCTGGACCGCACCCGCCCTGGAAATCGGATCGAGCCTGCAAAAACTGGTATCAAATCAGGGGCAACATATGTAAACACAAACTTTTGGAGCTCCGCGCGGTTCTCGTGGATCTGCGCTGGACGCCCACCGCCCTGGCCATCGCTCGGAAGTCAATTCCCCTGTGCACTTTTCGACTGCGTGCGATGATCCTAGATCCTGGATGCTCCTCGATGGCACTCGCCGTGAAAACATGCACAGGTCCAAGATCGACTACACGCAAGAGTGACTCTGGGTAAGAGTGACCTTTGGTGCGCAGCTTTTTGGGGGGCCGCGAGGGGACCGAACGCAAGCGCGCAAGACACTACTACTACCGCATCGCGTTCGGCGATCGGGGGACTCCAGTGGGCTCGCACCAAAGGTCACTCCGGCGAAGGGTCACTCTTACGTGTCGTCGACAAGAGCGCTGCCGAGACATCAACACGTTCTTGGGGAATTCCGCGCAGCTTTCTTGGATCCGCGCTGGACCCCCCCCCAGTGGCGCGCCGCCGCCGCGCCAGGGGCGAGGGGCCCAGCGCCCATCCGAGAGAAGTCCGCACGGAGCTCCGGAAGCTCAGGTTCATGCCGACTTGTTCTCTCTGCGAGGCGGGGATCTATCCACATCCACCGCCTGGGAACCGACGTACTGGTGCCCCAGCGGGCGGCGGATACGGATATATGTCGGCCCCTGGGGGCCCCGAGTATATCCATATCCACCGCCTGCCGAGGCTCCGAAAACTGCCCCTCCAGGCGGTGGTCATATATAATTTCCCGCATGGGACTTTCGAGATTCGTATCGAATCTGAGGGGCAACGATGCAGCCGACGCGTATAGTAAGGATGCGCGGTAAGAATGCAAGGGTCTTGGAAGGCCATGCTAACGTTTTTCGAGCGGGGGGCGGCCGAACACCGGGCAAACGTTGCCAAGGATGGGCCGAAGGGGCAAGACTGCAAACATAGCCTTCGAACATTGCTCATCCTTACTGTGTTGACTGTAGGGTGGATCGGCTCGGGGAGGGGGAAACATCGACCTGGAATCGGCGATTCATCGCCGCTAGATCGGCGATAGGCTCCCGATGACGAGTCCGCACGCTCCTGGGCAGGCTGGGGCTGTGAGGTCCCTATCGGCGATGAGGGGGCGATGGGGGGTCGCTGCGCCCCACTTGAGGACATCACCCCTCCGAGCCCCTGAGGCGCGGCCCCCTCCGCCCTCATCTCTGCTCCCCCCCCCGCCGCTGGTGGCGCGCGGGGAGAGGCCGAGCGAAGGAGAGGGGGGCTGCGCGCCAGGGAGGGAGGCTCGGATCGCTGGCGCGCGGGCGGCCTCGTCGGCGGCTCGGTCGGCGCCGCTCGACACACCGCGGTGGGCCAGGACAGAATAAGGCGAGGCCAGGAAGGAATACAGTCAACGCGTATGGCAAGGATGCACGACAAGGAGGCACGGGCCTTGGAAGGCCGTATCGACACTTTTCGAGCGGTGCGCGGCCAGCGAAAGTGGCCAACGGTGGGCCGAAGGGGCAAGGATGCAAGGGCATGTAACCTTGGGAAATTACTCCTCCTTACTAGTCGCTTTGACTGAAAGACTGGTCCACCCCGCCTCCCGCCTGAGCCTCTCCCCCCCTACCGCTTCACGAGCGGCGAGCATATCCTTACCCGCGACCTCGCGGGTGAGGCCCCTGGGCCACGACCCTGCGGATACGCCACTCGGCGGATGCCCCGCGCGGGACGTACCCGTGCGGCCGCGTATCCGTGGGATCGCGCCCGGCACTCCAGACCGCGGGGGGCGCGGATACAAATATGGTCGCCGCTCGTCACCTCTGCCCCAGGCCCGGGCCCTCCCCCACCCCACCGCTGGCCCTGATCCTGCTCTCGCGCGCGCACCGAGCAGGGAAGACGACGACGACGACGACGACGACGACGACGACGACGACGACTTTTGTGCCGAGGGGGCTGCGCCGCCTCTCCCGCAGTCTGCGGGCAGTGCAAAGGGCTGAGCCACGCGCAAACGGCGCGTGCTCAGCTCCCTCCGCTCTTCTTCTTCTTCTTGTTGCACGCCAGCGCCATCGCGCTGGTGCCTGGCTGCAGGCCCTTCGCGATCCTCAAGAGGTTCTGCTTCCCCATCTGGCCAGGGGTCTCCTCGCAGACCTGCACGAGCTTCCTCATGCTCTCCCTCGCGATGCAGCCGCACTTCTTGCAGTAGTGCAGGCCGAGCTCCTCCACGTACAGCACGATGTGGCTCTCGTGGGCCTCCTGGTTCGCGATCCTCGGCCTGCTCCTCAGCGAGCCGTGGACAGCGTCCGCCTTCTGAACGGCGACGCACTCGCCCGCCAGCCACGCGTCCGCCGAGGACATCAGCGCGCGGGACCCGCACCTCAGGCACCTGTAGTGTTTGCCGCTCACGTCGTGGGTGACGTTGTGCTTGGTGCCCTCCAGCAGCGCGGCTCGCCTGCATGCCTTGACGTGGGCCTCCTGCCTGATCTTCAAGCTCGGGACCTGCGACGGCTCCGCCTCGATGGAAGCCATGGGCGTCAGGTAGGCACGGTCCCTGACAAGCCCTGCGGCGCCCTCCGCGAAGCCCACCGACCGCGCCTGCGCGCGCGGCACCTGCGCCGCCTCCGCGATGCCGTCCACGAAGTCGTCCGCCAGGACGTTGCCTAGCCAGTCGATCGGGTTGACCTCTGCGTCCAGCGCCTCCTGGGCCGACATGTGACTCTCCACCTTGATGATCTCGACCTGCTTGCCGATGATGCCCTGCTTGACCTCCTTCCACAGGTCGACGTGGGTCTTGGGCATCCAACCTCCGCGAAGCTTGCCCATGCCCCTGACCACGTACGACGAGTCGGCAGTATACCTGATCTTGTCGTAGTGCCTGCCAGCTGCGATGCTCACGTCCTTCAGCGCCATGAGCTCCCCGCGGTTGACGCTCTGCCTCCAACCCGCGAGAGCGCCGCGACTGCCCACGACCACCTTCGCCACCGGTGGGTCCACGCTGTCGAAGACCACCCAGCCCCAGGACACCTTCCTCAGCCTTGGGTCCAGCGTGTACTCGCCGCCTGACGCACCACCAGCCGCGATGAGCCATCCGCCCGTCATGCACTCCGTGCTGCTGGACAGGACCTGCAAGTCACCGAAGCTCTCAATCAGCTCTGTCCCAGGCTCGGGCGGGCCGCTGACCGAAGTCCAGCTCGCTGGTATCAGGCCTCTTAGCCACAGGCACGGCTGGTTCTCGACCTCCGTGGACGCCCTCACCACTAAGTGCTGCGACTTCTCGATGCCCTCGATGGTCTCGTTGCACCTGCAGTCCCACATGCGATGCTTCCACGTCTCTGGCACCTCACCGCGCCCGGGGCACATGACGTCCTCGATCTCGATGCCGAGGTCCGCCACGCGCTGCCTCGGCCACACTGCTCCAGTCATGATCGCGAGGAACGCGCCCACTTTGTCGCACTGGCCCTTCCTGCGGAGCTTGCCTATCTTCATCTTCGCTGAGCGGAGGTCTGCTCCTCCCTCTAGGCCGCCGCCTGCAAAATGCTGCGCAGCCCTCGCCCACTGCTTCACCCCGATCGTGCTCTTGATCGCCGCCTTCAGGTCGCTGAGGTCCACGTCGTCGTCCAGCGCGTGCTCGTCGTCGCCGCCGACGAGTCGAGCAGCGCGAAGACCGTGCCGAACGCAGGACCGCCCACGCCGATCTCCAGCTGCAGCAGCGTCGTGAGGCAGCGGCCCCGAAGGCGCGGGGCTACCACCGAGGCCAGCCTCCTCCTCCACTTGGTAACCGTGCTGGGAGCCATGCCGAAAACCGTGCATGCATAGGCTGCTCTTGGCAGCGCTCCCCCCTGGACGACCTGCCTCGCGCCGCCTCTGGCCCTTCAACCACTCCTCGCCATCTTCAGCGCCTTGGCCACCTGGCGGTCGGCATGGGCGGCTCGCTTCGCGCGTTTGCCCTTGCCTCCTCCAATGCTGCGGCCCCTGTCGGTGCCCAGGTCTGGCGCCTGGCCCTTCACCTTGACCGCGATGTTGCGACTCCTCAGCCTGAGCGCAACCTCCTTGACCACGTCCATGTCGTTGCCGATCAGGGTAGACTTGCTCGAAAGGGTGAGCCTGGCCCTCCTGGCCCCTGCGGCGAAGTCCACTCCAGCGCCCGTGGGCTGCTTGATCACCTCGCGCCTGGACCCCTCCATCCTGGTGGTGACGTCGCCCGCCCACGAGCGGACGTGCACCTGCTGGTACTTCGCGCAGGCCTGCTCCAGCGTGGCGCAGAGCGCCACCCTGCCGAAGTCGATGCCACGCCTGGCGCCCGCGCAGATAGACCTGTCGGGCGAGATCGGCCCTGCGTAGGCCGTCCGCTCTCGCACTAGCCCCGTGCTCAGATGGCTCAGCATCTCCAGGTGCAAAATGCGCGCTGGGAGGCCGAGGCGGAGCCCTTCCTCCAGGATGAGGAGCGGCTCCAAGGTGTCGTAGAACTCCGCTAGGTCCCACAACGCAGTCGCCGCGAAGACCTTCATGGGTGCCCACTCCAGCACCTCGTCGGCGAAAGAGCGGACGAGGGCCTCCTTCAGGGCGCTGTTGCCCGCGACCGCGGCGCCCCACTTCCCTGCCATGTGCGACGCCCACTCGTTCGTGCACTGGCTCCTGATCTTGGACCAGATCTTCATTACCTCCGACAGCAGCCCGATGGCGCGGTCTCCCCCCGCGCCCTTGCGCAGCAGGCTGACCAACGTGACCATGAGCTGCCACGGCCAGGTCCCCGCGCGCTCGACCTGAATGAGAATGTTGCGTTGAGCAGCTCCACCCTGGCGCTGGGCGGGAGCCACTTGTAGGCGAGGGCCCCCATCTGCTCGATGCCCTTCGCCTTGCTCTTGCCCATGCTGTGGATCGCGCTGTTGAGGCTCTCCAAGGTGATGGGGGCCCAGTCTTCCTCCACGGCCGCTGCCCTGGTGACCTCCAACTTCTCCAGCACGACGGCGCGAGCGTAGCTGCTGGTCCACTTCTTCCTCCACTGCGCGCCCTTGGCGTCCATGTACTCGACCATGTTGGAGGCCGTCCAGTCGCTGGCCCTGACCTCGTTGTCGCACCTGGGCTTGCCCCGCGTGCGCCGGTGGAGCTTGCCACTGCCCACCGCCCCCTGCGCCTGCACCCAGTTGGTGTGCGCGATGAGCGCCTCGTTCACCTCCACGCGCTTGCCCTTCCTGGCTGCGGTGAGAGCTGCCGCGCCGAGAGCCTGGAGCTGCTCGGTGCCCAAGCTGTGCGCCTTGGCCAGGGCGGTGCGCCACTTCCTCTTCTGCTTGCTCGTCATCTTGACCACTCCCCCGCTCGGCATGGAGCTGCTCATCTCTCGAATGCGGCGCCGCAGGTGTTGACTACGCTGACCCTGATCATGGCAGCGCTGCAGCTCGACCAAGTAGGAAGCCAAGGTCCCCCACCACGTGATGGTGCTGTCTGCGTCGCTGGCCACGTTGTCGCTCATCCGCTTGACTCTCGAGGCGAAGCTCACTGCCTCACCTCTCCCAGCGTGCTTGCGCCTCTCGGTGGGCTCGATCTTCAGCATGCCCAAGTAGCACTGCTCCGTCGCGTGCGCCCACGCTCCGAACTGCGCGCCCAGCTCCTCGGCACCGAAGGGGTCGAACTGGTACGCCGCCGAGTCCGCGATGCAGCTTGGCGGGGTGCGCCAGGCACGACGGCCCTCCCCGCAAGCCTGGCCGATCTTGAGCTGCCAGATCTCGTCCCTCTGGTTCTCAGGAATGTCGAACACCTCGTCTGCGCTCTGCTTGGTCTCCGTCTCGACCTTCTTCTCGCCGTGCTCGCTGACCTCGTCGTCCTCCGCGCTGGACTCGTAGCCGCCGAAGAGATCCCCCATCTCCTGGTCGACCCTCCTGCACTCGACAGGGACGTCCGAGCAGCGAACGGCCACGAAGTTCTCGACCTCCACTGCGTTCTCCTACGCGCACGCCATTCCCTCGTTGACGCCCCTCTGCTGGCGGTCCTTCTCCTTCTGCCTGCTCCTCTTGCTGCTAGGATCGGCCCGCCCCCTCGGCGCGTCAGATAATGGTAGAGGCATGGGAAGGAGAAGCATCCTCTGGAGCGCCGACTCGGTCTCTCCCCGGATGTGGATCCTAACCCCGTAGTGATCGCCCGGGCCCGCCTGGTCACTGACCACTCTCGCGATCATGCGCTGGAACGACTCCGAGCAGATCGCGTAGTCGAGCATCCTTGCTGTGCTTCGTGTGCATGTGTACTGCACGTCCTCTGGCGCGCGCGCCACTCCGCCGAGCACCTTGAGCCAGCCTGCTTGCTTGATCTCGCTCGGCTCCGCGTTCCAGTCGCCAGCCGCCACCCACGGTCCGTCGTGACCACGGACCGGCGCTGCTAACCTTGCCAACTTCATCTGATTCTCGCCCTTCACTCCGAGCGACGATGTGAGGTAGATGCCGACCACGAGGACCGAGTGACCCTTCCACCGCCACGTGATCGCCACCATGTCCTGGAAATCGATCGGCCCTGGCGACCAGTCGGCGTCGACCAGGCGAAGCCCGAACGCCTGCTCCTTCTTCGCCGCGAGGTGCCGCAGCGACTGCACAGAGAGGTGCGCCTTCGCCGCCATGCTGGTGCCGCCTGCCTGGCCCGCTCTGCTGCTCCGTCGTGAAGGCGTCACTATCGCCTTCCAGCCCTTGCCGTCCAGGTGGCCCAGGATCTCGTTAATCCCGCCCGCCCCGACGTGCGTCTCAGGGAAGATGAAGATGTCGTCCGTGCTGCTGCTGATGCGCTTCCTCAGCCTCGGCCCCCACGTCGAGAGGTTGTGCATGTAGACGCTATGGCTAAAGCCACTGCTTGGCGCCGCCGACCTTGGAGCGCTCACGAGCAGCAGCCACTGCTTCTGCCAAGGCCCTCTTCTCTGCAACCTCCTTGCCTGCCAACTCCTGCGCGGTGGGCGCCGCTGGTGCTGAGGATGCTGCTGCCCCTCCGCTGGCGGCAGCGGGAGTCGCTGGTGGCGTCCCTGTGCCGTCCGCTGCGCTCTGTCCGACGCTCTCCTCGTCATCGACCTTCCTCTTCTTCTGGAGGCGCGCCATGAACTCCTGCTGGTCATTCTGCTGTTGCCTGAGCTTCTCTGCTGCCGCTGCAAAGGCAGCGCGGGCCGCGCCCTTCGCCGCGCTGACGAAGGCGAGCTTGCGCTGCTCGATCTCCCTCTTGTCGGACTCGCTGATGTCGCCGCTGCACTCGAAGAGGTTGCCCATGTCCACCTCGACCTCCTCGTCCGCGAAAAGCGCGCCGATGGGGAGGACATTGGCCTTGCCACGGCCTGCATCGGCGGCTGCAGCACCGCCGAGAGGATGTCGCTGAAGTTCCGCTTTGACTTCGTCTTCCGCTGCTGCCACCTCTGCACTGCGGGCGGCCAGATCAGCTTAGGCTTGCCGTAGCTCATCTCGGAGACGTTCCCGCCGTCGGAAGGCCTTTGTCTGCGCAGCCTGGGCCTTCTGAGCTCTGTCCTCACCAGCCCGAAGCGCGGCTCGAGAACCTGGGGCATGGAGTGTAGTCGCCGCTGGTGTGGGGACCGCCTCCGCCAGCAGCGCGTCGAGCCTCTCCTTCTGCTTCCCCTCCGTCTTGGCCGCTGCTGCTTCGAGTAGTTGCTGTAGGGAGAGCTCTGCCAACGGCCGCTGTCCGTCCGCAGTTCGGGCCCCGACGCTCGTGGCCTTATTGTTCTTGGTGCCTGCGCCTGCGCTGAGAATTGGCCAGCACCCTCCGTCGCGATCCCATCCTCCTGGTGGTCCCGCTCCTTCAGGTGGCTCCGCCCCCCAGCTGCACGAAGCGCGCTTGCACGTGTAGCTCTCTGCTTCCAAACGATCTGCGAACAGCCACTTGCAGCACTCCTGGCAGTAGACCTTGCGTCCACGCAGCTGTTGTTGGCCTCCGCTTCGACGCCACTGTTCACGCCAAGGCCACACTGCACGCCAAGGCTGTCGCATGAAGGTGCCGCTGAGAGCCCCACCGCCGTCCCCACGAGGAGCAGGAAGCGGAGCCATCTAACGGCCGAGATGTGAAGCTCACTCGCGCGGGCGCACGAGCGGCAGGGAAACAACTGGGTCCTCGCTAGCCCTGGACCAAGGGTATCCGTGCTCTCGCACGGGGCGAAAATCATCTTGAGCCAAAATGGCTACGGACGACGACGACGACGACGACGACGACGACGACGACGACGGTCGAGAGCGCGGCCCCAGCGGGGCGGCGCCCGGCGGAGGGGCGGCTCCCCGCGGTGCTCACCCGGGAGGCCGCAGTGCTCACACGGGAGGCGGGCGGCTCGACCTTCGGCACGCTCCTCGGCGGGCGCGCGCGCGGCCGCGGGCGCCCTGGCAGCGCTCCTCCTCCTCCTCCTCCTCCTCCTCCTCCTCCTCCTCCTCCTCCTACTCCTCCTCCTCCTCCTCCTCCTCCTCCCTCCCTCCTCCCTCCTCCTCCTCCTCCTCCTCCTCCTCCTCCTCTCCTCCTCCTCGCTCCTCCTCCTCCTCCTCCTCCTCCTCCTCTCCTCCTCCTCCTCTCCTCCTCCTCCTCTCCTCCTCCGCCTCCTCCTCCTCCTCCTCACTCCTCCTCCTCCTCCTCCTCCTCCTCCTCCTCCTCCTCCTCCTCCTCCTCCTCCTCCTCCTCCTCCTCCTTCCTCCTCCTCCTCCTCCTCCTCCTCCTCCTCCTCCTCCTCCTCCTCCTCCTCCATCCTCCTCCTCTCTCCTCCTCCTCCTCCTACCTCCTCCTCCTCCTCCTCCTCCTCCTCCTCCTCCTCCTCCTCCTCCTCCTCCTCCTCCTCCTCCTCCTCCTCCTCTCCTCCTCCTCCTCCTCCTCCCTCCTCCTCCTCCTCCTCCTCCTCCTCCTCCTCCTCCTCCTCCTCCTCCTCCTCCTCCTCCTCCTCCTCCTCCTCCCTCCTCCTCCTCCTCACTCCTCCTCCTCCTCCTCCTCCTCCTCCTCCTCCTCCTCCTCCTCCTCCTCCTCCTCCTCCTCCTCCTCCTCCTCCTCCTCCTCCTCCTCCTCCTCCTCCTCCTCCGCCTCCTCCTCCTCCTGCCTCCTCCTCCTCCTCCTCCTCCTCCTCCTCCTCCTCCTCCTCCTCCTCCTCCTCCTCCTCCTCCTCCTCCTCCTCCTCCTCCTCCTCCTCCTCCTCCTCCTCCTCCTCCTCCTCCTCCTCTCCTCCTCCTCCTCCTCCTCCTCCTCCTCCTCCTCCTCCTCCTCCTCCTCCTCTCCTCCTCCTCCTCCTCCTCCTCCTCCTCCTCCTCCTCCTCCTCCACTCCTCCTCCTCCTCCTCCTCCTCCTCCTCCTCCTCCTCCTCCTCCTCCTCCTCCTCCTCCTCCTCCTCCTCCTCCTCCTCCTCCTCCTCCTCCTCCTCTCGCCGTGGGATGCGCGCAGGCCCCCGAGACGCAGCCTGAGCCCGGGCAGCGAGCGCGAACCGCGAGCCCGAGCAGCGAGCAACGGAGCGCGAGCCCGAGCTCGGAGGCACGAGCCCAAGCCCGAGTCGCGAGCCGCGAGCCCGAGCCCAGACGCATCAGAGCCCGTCTTCCGAGGAGAGAACTGCACGTTCAGGCCACCACTTCTGCGACGCGCGCGAGATTCTGGCTCCTGCTGGTGGGAAGGCTCTCTGCCTTCTGGTGTCTTCAGGGCCCTCCGCCGTGAGCCAGGCAGCTGTGGATGTCTGCCAGTCCATAATATTCGGTCCAATGGACCACCGCATGCCCCGGCCCTGGGGAGAGGAAGAAGCGGAGGCGACAGCACTCGTTGGGAGAAGGAGGGGGCGGTGGGAGCAGCGGGAGGTCGCGGGGGCAGGTGGTGCAGGGGCTTCTGGCAGGGGCCTCCAAGCGCCCTGCAGAGCCCCCGCTCGAGGAGAGGGGTGACGACAGAGGGTAGAGCTAGCTCGGGAGGTGGAATTTAACCAGCCTCGATCAGATCCCGATCCCAGAGGTTGACACGCCCAAATTCGATGACATCCTAGGGATGCGCCCTCAGAAACTGAGGGAATCCCTAAGATCGGCATCGGGATCAGGTGATGCCAATCATAGGGATGGGGAGAATGTACCGGGCCAGTAAGATATGGGCCTGGGATCGGCGATGCATCGCCGATGAATCGGCCATGGGCCCCCGACGGCGATGGGCGATTGGGCGATGCATCCCCCCCTGAGCCTCTCTTTTTTTTCCGATCACTCAACCTCCACCACGTCCTCGTCCCTCGCACTCAGCGCCCGCCCAGCCGCGGGCCCGCCCCGTACACGAGGCGCAGGGCGGCGACGCGGCCCCCCGCGGCGCTCCCGGCGCGCCGCGCGCTGGCCGTCGGCGGCAGCAGCTGGGCAGGCAGAGCAAGCCTGGCCTCGGCGCCGTCCGCAAAGGCACGCTCTGAGCCTCTCTCCCCCTACATTTGAGGCGCATCATAAGTATGCGCGGTACGGATGCAAGGGCCTAAGAGGGCCATGTTGGCGTGTTCGAACGGGGTTGGCCAGAGAAAGTCGCCAGGGGTGGGCCGAAGGGGCAGGGCTGCAAGGGCAGCCTTGGAAAATTGCTCATTCTTACTATGCGACTTGACTCTACAGCTGCCCCTGATCCAGCTCTCTCGCGCGCGCACCGAGCAAGCTACACGAAGACGACGACGACGACGGCGACGGCGACCCGGCGCCTTCTTCACGGTCGTCGCCGCGGCCGTCGCCGCCGTCGTCGATCGTCGAGGCTTCTGGCCGCCCCTGGCCCTTTCTCGGACTTCCGGGGGATCTCTCTAGAGGCCTCGCGGGGGCCTCCCATGGGGCCCAGAGGAACAAAAACGGCACAAGCACAACTTATCTGAGGTCCGCGCAGATGTTTTGCGATCCGCGCTGGACCCCCTCCCTGGCGCTTCTCTGATGGCTGATGACCCCGCTCGGACAGACGTGGCTATCGGAACGCAGAGTGTGACTACCTACCAGACCACCCCAACCCAACCCGAAAACCCGAATTTGACCCGAATTTCGGGTTGGGGGGGGAACGGGTTCCATGTGTTGTTTCAGTGTTCCCCGACCCCCCCCCCCACACTAGAAATGGAGGGCAAATCGGGGCCTTCGGGTTGGGTTGGGGTGGTCTGGTGGGCGGTGAGAGCGCAGACACGCATCGTGGCATTTCTTAAGCAGACCTCCTTGGTGCTCATCGGCGCGCAAGGGGCGTCGGAGACGAGCGCATCTTCACTGCTTCGTATAGTCTCTGTTGTGCACTTCCTCCGGAGAGGGGAGCCGACCCGCACGACAACCCCTCAGACCCAGGCGTCGAGGGCAAAAGCACGACCCGCGTGTCGTCCAGTTGCGGGACCTCGAAAAGACTTGCAATGACGCGGGGTCGAGGCGCTCGACCTCGTGTGCCTCATCTCGAAGAGGGAAGGGCGGCATAGACGTAAACTGTCTGAGGTCCGCGAGGAGCTCCGAGACATCACGTGCATGCCGTTGTGCGTTCCTCGAACCAGCCGCCAGTCAGCTGCAGCGCTGATTAGCCTGTGCTGTGCACTGGCTCTCGCCTCTTTTTGAGGCTCTCTGTTAGCGAGAGGCACTGGACCGAAGCGTGGGATGATCGATATGCATTCTCCGAGAAAAACTGTTGGGCCCCTCTGGTTCAGAATCGTTTAAGCAATCCCTATCCCCATCCCCATTCCCATCCCGACCCTCACCATCACACCACCCCAAGTGGGGATATACCTTCGAAACCCTACATCCACATACAGGCGGGGTGAATCGGCCAATGGGGCCCAGGCCACGCCAATGGGGATAGGGATCCGCTAAACGATGCTCACTGGTGGAATCGCCCGCCTCTGGTTATGTTGGGCAGCGTTGGAGCCAGCACAGCACACAGCAGTTCTACATGGAGCACCTGCGCGGGTGCAGCAGGTTTGGGCCCGGGCGCCAGCACGTGAGGAGAAATCCGCCGATCCGGCGTGTGAGTGCCTGAGAGCGTGGACTTGAGCTCGCTCAAGCTTCGCTCTGCAGGGGGGGGTACGTTATTTTCAACGTCATTTCCTACGTTTTTCGGTACCCGGGGACAGGGGGGTATGGAAAACTCAAACTCCTGGGGTTTAGGGTTTAGGGTTTACCAGATCGGCGGCACTGGCCGGAGGCCAGCCCAATATGGGCAGTATGCCAGTCACTCAGGGGTCGAGGTCAGTGTCGCGTGTGCTCGCGCGAACGAGCTCAATGGCACAGAGGTGATCGGAGGCTGGAATCGTCAGCTTGGAGCCGTGCACGCCAAAGAGTCCGCCTGCGGGAACACACCGCAGGGCGCGAACTCCTCCGAGGACCTCCGCCGGAGAACCCTCGAGCACCTCCTCCTCCTCCTCCCCAGCATCATCATACTCCAGGGGCCTCTGGAGGCCTCTGGAGATTTCCGAGGCATCTTGACTTCCCCAGATGCGTATGGAGGTCCAGGAAGGGCAGATCAACTTCCACATCACTCGATCGTCCTCCTGCCCCCCCCCCCACACGAGAGGATGCGGAGAAGGAGGAGGAGGATGAGGATGAGGAGGAGGAGGGAGGAGGATGATGATGAGGTCGTCTGCGGGCGGCGTCCAGGACTCGAACTGTGTGAACTGCGGGTGCCACGCGATGGTGGGCGGCATCGCAGACCTCGCCGAGCTGGCAGCGTCTCCTCCTCCTCCGCCTCCTCCCACCTCCTCCTCCTCCTTCTCACTGTCCCTCCTGAAGCCTTGAAGATGCGGGCAGGTCTGTCAATGACTGAAGCCCTCGTATCCTCAACCTCCTCCTCTACCTTCCTCCCTCCTCTTCCTTGCTCCAACACCCCAGGTGACGGGCGACAGAAAAGTCTCCTCCTCTTCCTCCCCTCCAACTCCTCCCCCTTCCGCGCGAGCGGGATCGCGCGTTCGCTGAAAAGGAGAAGAGAGGATAATTGAATGAGGAGGAGGCAGGAGCAGGAGGAACCGTGAAGCAGGAGGGAGGGCGGCCTGGGGAGAAAAGAGGCAAGGGAAGGGATGATG